GCGTAAGCGCCGCGTCGCTATCTAACGGATAAACATTGATACGGAACCCATAGGAATGTAAACAAAATTTATACTTGTTGTTAAAATCTCTATACCTGCACTTATGAAAATTTGATCATTTCTTCATCTTGTCAATACAAGTAAAATGTTTTTTGAATTAATAAAATTGGACGCTCAGTTCTCTTAAAATCTGAGGTACCGTTTTTGGCACTTTTTGCCCCATATCTTCGGAACGGCTAGACCTGCTTCCGCCAAAAACTAATCAGCACGTCTCCTTGAATTATTCAAATTGCTTCGTTTTTTGAATTATTCAAATTGCTTCATCCGTGTTCCCGAAATCGTCGACGAAAATTCGTATCCGCACACACATACATACACGTACACACACACACACACACATACATCTATTTTTTCTAAGGTATGCCAAAATATTCAGAAACCTCTGAAACGTAAAGATATATAAAAATTTTCATTTTCAATTTTTTTGCGATTACTATAACTTACCCTACGGGAAGTTAAAAATGAGTGGTTTACCCACTGCAACCTGTGCCACACATAAATAATCTTTGGGCTTATTAATAGGCATTGCAAGAGCCATCCTGCAATCACACATTAGAAACTCTCTTCATTGGAACATTTTGGTATTCAAGATTTTGATATATTACTATCGGTGCCCAATCACGCGTTGCTTTGCTATGCATATAAATAAAAATCTAAACAAAAATGCAAAGTTACATATAGCTACCAAGATAAAAAATAACACTTGTATCATCAATTGTATCAATTGGTTGTTGAACAGTATTAGATGCATCTTTGAGTGAAATATCCCATTTAGCAGCGCAATATATATTATAACATTTTAAGCATATCAGAAGTAATTATTCTGTAAAAACTAAACAGCATACATTACATAATGCAAAACAACCAAATATACAAATATATTCAGGAAATTTTGCAGTTATTGCCTAAATACAGAAATATGTTCACTTGCCAGTTTCTAAAACCTCTTTTTTTACTCCATAGAAAGACATACACACCCAATATCTCGTGTTAAATTTTCCAAAATGAAAGCTATCTTATTTACCCAATGCCAAATACAAATTTCATTAGCACTTATTTACAAAGACTATACCTGAATATTCATCAGCTGAGTTGAAAAAAACTATTAATCTCTTGTGAAATTTCTCATATAATGTTATATATATTTTTTTAGTGTTATCTTATTTTTTACACCTTTGTCAGAGTAAAGATTCAGTTGGTCCTTTTTATCCCAACCACACATAATTTTTTATAGGGGTTATATAAAGAAAAACTGTTGAATCTAAGGATAAACTAACAGGTCTTATTATAACACAATTAAATAACGTAAATTCAAGTAGACTTTTATACTCGTGTACATTTAAATGTGGCTCTTATCATTTTTTCCTAAATTTGATCTAATGCTGGCAATATTGATACATTTGATATAATGCGAGCTTCAAAACTTAATTTTAAAATATTTCATTATAACAGATCTCGTAATTTATTGATATTTTCACAGGTGTGTCTCAAAGTCATTTCTGTTATCAGCGGAACCATCTTATTTAAATTGCTGACTGTTATCATTCTCATCATTTTTTCCTAAATTCGTTCTAATGCTGGCAGTATTGATACATTTGATATAATGCGAGCTTCAAAACTTAATTTTAAAATATTTCATTATAAAAGATCTCGTAATTTATTGATATTTGGACAGGTGTGTTCCAAAGTCATTTCTGTTATCAGCGGAACCTTCTCATTTAAATTGCTGGCTATTATAACTGGAAATAAATTATTAGATAAAATGTTCCTTTTGATCGATTTCAATTTAGGGTCTTAAATAAACTTAATAATCAGTTCTCGTCGAGCCCTCGATCCGAACGGACGTGTCACGCGAGCTCTCGATCAAATAATTTATTGGGAAGTCATCCATAATCCACGGTTATACATGTGTAGAGATCCATATACATTTTTATTTATTCTTTTTATAATTTTATTTTAAAAAGTATTGGTGATATCAGTCTTGTTAAAATAAGTGCGTTTTATGTTAAAGTGAGTCATGCAATCAAGAGAGTTTGCTCAACCCAACGGCCGACCACCAGACGTAAGTTTGGTTAGCTGTTCAACTGTTGGCGAATCAATTGCGCAAGCAATGAACACTGTGAATCACAAGGAATATGACAATATTGATAGTGAAATGGACCTAAGTCACTACTCAAGTGAAACAATTAACATAAAAACAATTAAAAATGTCAGTGACCCAGTGCATATAAATACCGCCGGTAAAGATTACACGGCGTATCAACACAATAACAATAACGTCAATCAAAACACCGAAGTACACACAACTCCTGAACCAATCGATAGAAATATGGATGATGTTGATCAAGGACAGGGATGGACAACCGTTACAAATAAAAGAAGACAGGAAAATTACTGCAACGAAGCAACAACGAAAAAGGTTACCTTGAAAGACTACTGGTTAAACTCAGTGCCCACAAAGAATTATTATGACACTCTGCAATACGCGCCTTCTAGTGTTGAACCAGTAGAAAAGACAATTAATCCACCACCAATCTTTGTCTACGGTGTTGACGACATCAAGCCTCTCATCGAATTATTAGAATTACACGCCAAGGACAAATATTCTTACAAAACAACTGGACTGCAGCAAGTTAAAGTAAACACAAAGAATCCACAGACGTATAACACCGTACTAAAACATTTGAAAGAAAAAGGAACTGAACTGCATTCATATCAAACAAAGTCACAGCGATCTTTCAAAGTTGTAATAAAAAATTTACATCATAGCACTGATGTAGCAATGCTAAAACAAGAAATAAGTGAAAAGGGTCACAATGTTTTAAGAATTTACAACTTAAAACATAGATACACAGGATACCCAATAAATATCTTTGTGGTGGAATTCGAACAACAGAAAAATAACAAATATATTTATTCCATTGACTTTCTTTACAGAACCAAGGTTTCTATAGAAGCAAACAGACCTACTCGAGAAGTGCCACAATGTACAAGATGCCAGAGTTTAGGGCACACAAAAAATTACTGTACATGCACAGCGCGTTGTGTAAAAAGCGCCGGAAAACACTTTACTAAAGATTGTTCGTGGAGAGATCCTGTCAACCAAAACGTAAAATGCGCACTTTGTGGAGGAAACCATCCCGCAAGCTATAAAGGATGTGCTATTTATCATCAAGAAAAACTTCGTAAATTTCCACCATTAAGAAGAAGTCAGACTCCTCTCAGAAATCCCGTTAATACGAGCCACTCTTTCGTACGTGCAAACGTCTCCTTCTCAGAAATAACAAAAAAACTCAGAAAAATAGATAATAATGTTACATGCCAACAAGAATATTCAGAACAACCTACAAACCATCAACAAGCCAATCAACAAAGTGACATACATGAATTAAAAAATATAATGCTAATTTCAGAAACTCATTTTATGAGCAGAAGTTATTTTGATATTCTATCCTATACCACTTACAGCACCAGGCATCCTGACGATAGAGCACACGGAGGATCAGCCATTTTAATAAAATCAAAAATCAAACATTATCTAATGGAAACTATCTGTAATGATTTCCTGCAAGCAACCATCATTTCTGTAGAATTTCCTCAAAGTAATATTACAATTGCATCAGTCTACGGCCCGCCTAAACACAAGATACTAAAACGAGACTTTGAAAGGTTTTTCAACGGTCTTGGAAATAAATACATAATAGCAGGGGACTATAACGCCAAGCATACTCACTGGGGTTCAAGTCTATGCAATCCCAGAGGACAAGAACTCTACAACTTAATTAACTCCAACAACTCAACACCAATATCGACAGGAGAACCTACCTACTGGCCAAGCGACATGCATAAAAAAACAGATTTACTAGATTTCTTCATTTGCAAAGGTATTCCAGAAAGAACCTTGAGAGCCTACTCAAGCTCGGACTTGTCTTCAGATCACTCTCCGGTAATTGTATCTTTTAGCAATACTGAACCAATCTGTAACCTCAACTTTCACCTTACAAATAAGTATACCAATTGGAGCAAATTTGGAGATAATCTGGATAATAATTTGGAATGCAACTTACCACTAAAATCTGAAAGAGATATTGATTTTGCAGTGAACTTTTTTAATGACTCACTCTATATCGCTGCACAAAACTCCACTCCATCAGTCGAGAACAACTTTTGTTTTAATTGTCCAACTTCAATCAAACGGCAAATCGCAATAAAAAGAAGACAAAGGAAAATCTGGCAAACCACACGATCACCGGTAGATAAATCCAATCTTAACAGAGCCTGCAAAGAGTTGAAACTCATGCTCCGGAACTTTAACCACCAAGTTTTTGAAGAGAAATTAAAACACTTAACTTCTACCAAAGAAACTAACTACTCACTTTGGAAAGCCGCAAAGAAATTTAAACAACCAGTCGCTCAAACGGTACCAATTAAAAAAGCCAAAAACTCCTGGGCTATAAGCCATGAGGATAAGGTCAATTACTTTGCCGACTATTTTGGAGAAGTTTTTCAATGTCCGCCCCAAAAATGCAGTTCTCAAGAAGAAGAATTTGTTTACCATGGCTTTGTAACATGTCTTCAGGACCACAAGTTCCGACAAGAAAGAAATAACAAAGTCCAAATCAGGTAAATCACCAGGATACGACAAGATCTCCTTGCGAATGCTGAAACACATTTCACCAAAGTCTATTAGGTTTCTGACAATTCTATACAATTCGATATGTAGACTTCAAATTTTTCCTCAAGCTTGGAAAAGAGCTAGGATTATCTTGATTCCAAACTTGGCAAAGATCCATCCTATACAACATCATACTAATAAGTCTATACTAATAAGTCTTTTACCCCTCCTTTCCAAAATACTCGAAAGATTGCTGCTTAAAAGAATTCTTGTCACATTGAACAATAATAATACAATTCCTTGTCATCAGTTCGGTTTTAGAAAGATGCATTCAACGATTGAACAAACCCATAGATTGGTGCATAAGATTAACGAAACTCTACAAGAAAAGAAATATTGCTCAGCTCTGTTCTTAGATACCACACAAGCATTTGACAAAGTTTGGCATACAGGACTTCTTTATAAAATAAAAAATACTTTACCCAATGACCTATTTCTATTAATAAAATCATACTTATCAAACCGAAGTTTCTACATAAACATTCTCAACATGAACTCACTTATTAAAATAATAAAATCAGGCGTTCCTCAAGACAGTGTTCTCGGCCCAATTTTGTTTTTAATTTTTACAGCTGACATTCCCACCTCACTTGACACAGACATAGCCTCATTTGCTGACGATATTTGCATACTTTCAAAACATGAAAATCCCACAACTGCTTCAGAGCAACTTCAACGTCACTTAACATCATTAGAAAAATGGGACAAACTGTGGAGTTTTGTGTATGAGAAATCATCCTACATCACTTTTACACTCAAACACGAGACGTCCCTCAGGTCGAACACGTAAAGTATCTGGGCATGCATCTGGACCGAAAACTGAATTGGAAAATTCACATGAAAAAGAAAAGGCAACAGCTTGAGGAAAAGTTACGTGAACTATATTGGTTAATGGGTAGGAGATCCCATCTTTCTGTACACAACAAACTACTGGTATACAAAGTTGTACTTAAGCCGATTTGGACATATGGCATAGCTCTTTGGGGCACCACATTTAAAATTAATGCTTACATCATTCAAAGGTTTCAGAACAAAGTTCTTAGGATCGCTTTAGGCGCCCCAGAATATACTCCCACCTGGCTGATCCATGATGACACACATATGCGCACTGTAGCCGAGGAAGTTAAAGGATTCGCTGTTAACCACAAAGACAACACCCAAATGAGTTGGACAACGCACTGCTATCCACAAACACAACACAAAGACACGTGTCACATTATATTACTTCTTATAAAGGAAAAATGCAACTGTGTATTTTTCACTATTGATATATCGATGTCATTTTTATATATAACTAGATGACCCGACAGACGTTGTCCTGTCCATGTCTACATTTTTTTTAATATAATATACTATTATTTACCGTCTACCTGAAAATTATAATTATTGTTTTTTAAATTACTCTCCACGCCAAAATGCATATACGTTTATAATATGAGCGATGTTAAATGTAGAACTGCTTTAAATAAAATGATGAGTCTCAATTTCCACACTATATTGGAATTTGAAGTCTTTTAAACGGTATAACATAATCATAACCATACTATAACACTGGTACTTCATGTTGGATTAAATTAATTTAATTTTTTATTATTTAAGATATCCAAAATTGCATCTTACACTTCTCTTAATCGATATCGTGAGGGCCGACTTGTATGTACTCATCTTTACTTTCCCATTTGTTGTTATAAAGTGAAATTTTTACGAATTTTAAAAATATTGTGGAAAGATTAGTAAAAGATGCAAAGAAATTATATATTAAAAATTTAATATCCAAATCTTGTGTTGGCGCCCCCTAAGGCGTGCGCTCTTATTTTTCACATGCATCGCATTAAAGGTAGGACCGGCCCTGATTAATACTTAATTTCATTTTTTAAGTGAATTAATTTGTCATATTTGTTCATATGTGTATAATTCAATCTGCCATACATATACAATATTTTATATTATTTTAATTTCTGGCACATCTCAGCTGCTTTTTGGCAATAATAATGTAGACATTACATTTTTCTTAATCATAATCATAAATTTATTATACATATTCTAATATTGTGTAGGTTCATAAGTGAATTGAAATTTTTGGCAGTTGATAGTTTACATTTATTTTCAATGCAAACAATGACATGTCGATTTTTGCATTTTTTTCCATTTATTTCTACAATATTGCACATACATCCCAGTACTTTATAATCACATACATCCTAGAAATTTCCTTAACAAACTTCAGAAAGATTTATCGAAATCCGAATAATCGTTAAGGAGGAGTATACAGTGAGTGCTTGTAATTTAATATGAACTTTATATAATAGCAATAAAGCTCAAATTGATTCTACGTTTTAGTTAAAAAACGTTTGTATGAGATAAAGAAAAGGGCTGTTTTTATGGGTTTTCCGGCAATTTTTCGATTTTTTCGCGCCGTAAGAACCATCTTTGGACTTCAACAAACATTTTAAAAAAAGAATTGGCCAAATTGGTCCAGGCGTTATTGAGTTATGCGCTTACCAACACATTTTGCGATCCATTTTTATATATAAGATTGCCAAAAGATTTACTTAATGCCTATTGTAATGTAATGTTGTAAATATATTGTTGAATAAAAAAATATATATTTTTAAGGATAAGATGATTATGAACTAATAATTATGTTTTTTTTTGCAGGCAGTTATAATATTTTTTGTAGCCGTTACTGTCGGAATATTAGGCGCGCCTGTGGATGATTACAAGAATGCGAAGATTATTAAATATGAAAATACTCCATTTGCTCCGGATAATGGATACAGATTTGAGTAAGTTGTAAATTCGGTACAATTTGTAGTCAAGTAAATAGTTTAAAATATCATGTCAGCGCAGACGAACAGTATATATGCGTAACCTAGCGTATTTTCACCAATAAATTCTCAAGTTTATACTCAAGTGTTTGCGCAAGTGTGTTCAACATTTCGGACTTGTCAATTAAGAGCTAAAAATATTCATGTCGACATTATAATTATGATATATTTCCTTGTGATCACTTCCATTATTTTAGTCATTTGCATTTGTATGCAGTATAAAAATTAATTTACACAGAGCGTTGCTTAGGCTTTCTTATACAGAATTTGTGCAGAAATGAATAACTATCGTTAAGATGATTATGTTGGATGACATTGTTTAATTATTTAAAAGCAAGCCGTAACTAATAAAGTAAATATTAGCTCATGCTCTTGCCAGGCTTATTCATGATAGTAATAATAATAAAGTTCAATTAAATTACAAATTAAATTTTATAATATAACCAGTAGCTGCACAATTCCGCTTCTGAAACAAAAAGAACTACAAGAAAAACATCTGAACAATAAATATAATGTTTGTCAACAATTTATCCGTAATAAAGTTTAATTTATAATTAGCTAAAAGTCTTATTTGAAATTATTTTTTAATGTTTATTGATATTCATGACTTAACACTTCACCCTAGACAATAGGAGTGATATTGCTATTGGGTCTACAAGCTCTTAAAAAAAGCTACGAATGCACAAAGCGACGGTATAATATATATATATATATATATATATATATTGATGAGTTATTTTGATTTGGGCAGTAACACCAAGTAAAAAAAAAAACTAAAGTAGTTGTAAAAACGTTATTTAACCATACATTTTGGTCTTCGTCGATACCGTCTTTAGTAGAACAACATTTATAAAAACAACATTTCATAAAAAATGTAGAAGAAAAATAATATAAAATTATACACTTATATATAAATACTTACAAAAAATTAATTACACAAAAATACACTACACAATTACACAGTAATAAACCAAGCTATTAATAATTGGAACATTTGGAACTAATGATTTTTTGACAATTTTTCGTTACATTCTAGTGTGTACAAAGTTGTTAACATCTAAAAACTGAATGAATTGTGTTTACAATTTTTTTTGTGAAAGTGTAAAAAGACGGGTAACCATATGTTTTTAAATAATAAAATAATAAAATACACGCTTATCATTCAGATTTGATGGAGTTTTGAAAAATGGTCAAAGATTATTTTATAGAAGTTGCAAAGCGAATTGTTGTCCGTTCTTTGTCCGGTTTTTGTTTTTGAAATTATTTTTATGTTATGATGTTCTTTTGTGCAAGTTTTGACTGGTTTCACCTACCTCAAACGCAATTAAAATTTGGTGAAGTTTATATATATATATATATATATATATTTATTTATTTATATATATATATATATATATCTACTTGACTTAAAAAAATATCAAAATCACATTAGTCGTGTAGAACCCCCTAGTAACAATAAAACAGTAGTAAAATGTAAACGTTACTTACTATTCGGACACACTAAAAGCTACTGCAACAGACCCCACGTATGTGCCAAATGTTCAGATAACCATAGTACTGCAGACTGTAAAAAATCGATCGACATACCGAACCGCTGCTATCACTGTTCTATGGAGCACACCGCCCATTATCGTGAATGCCCAATTTATCAAAAACTACAAAATAAAAAATTCAAAAATAGAAGAACAACATTACATAATCATAATATATCAAATATTGGAAATATTTCCAATAACGAAATATAAGGTCATTACCAAACCTACTCCCAAGTAGTTATACAAAATAACAACAGTACTGAAAACACAACAATTTCAGGACCGAACTTCACAGCTTTTCTCGAAGAAAATATGTTTAATCAACTGATTCAACAAAACACTATGTTGCTAAATATGCTTACAACTTTAGTAAATAAAATACAACACTAATAGTTAAATTTTTAGGAATTGCACTGTGGAATGCAAATGGAATCATTCTAAATATATTGGAAATTATTACATTTTTAAAAGTTAACCAAATAGACATCTTATTAATTAGTGAAACGCATTTCACAGATTTTTCGTATTTTAAAATACCTGGTTACAATATGCATCACTACATTCAAGCTCTTAGAGAAACCGCTATAATAATTAAAAGTACAATTGACCACTATCCATTACCAGTTTATCAATAAGATCACCTACAGGCAACTTCATTAAAAGTAAAGTTGCAGGCGAATAATATAACATTATCAGCGGTATACTGTTCACCACGAAATATAAATATAAATAAACAGAATGATTATAAACATTTTCTTTCACAATCAGGCCCAGAATTTATTGTAGGAGGAGATTACAATTGCAAACACACAAGATGGGGTTCGCGATTAATTACAGGCTTAGGCAAAGAATTATTAAATGCAAAAGATAAAAACGATCTCTCTTACATATCATCTGGAAGCCCAACATACTGGCCGAGCGGTATTAATAAAATACCGGATCTGCTGGATTTCTTCATAACTAAGAATATCAACGAAAAATACACTGAAGAAAAACATCTTTCGTCATATCATCTGACCATTCTCTAATAATTCTAACAATAGGAGTTGCATCAATACCTATAAAAAACAACGTATTGCTACATAATAAATTTACAAATTAGGAAAAAAATTCTCAACACACTAAATGAACGAACAATTTTTAAAATAAGTTTGAAAAATGAAGAAGATATCAATAAATCAAAAAAAGACTTAGTTCATAACATTCAAAAGTCAGTGTTACAAGCAACTCCAGAATTATATTTTCGTGATGTACAAGATGTTCCGCTGGAAATAAAAAATCTAATACAGGAAAAAAGGAGGGTAAGAGCTAAATGGCAACCTTACCACAGGTCAGAAAACAAAACTCTAAAAACAAAAAAAATATTTTAAACCTATCTAGAAAGGACAATTCTATCTGGCAGCCAATTCAGAATAATAAAGAACCAAAAATTCCAGGCACCGAAAATGACTGTGTAAAGTTAGGTGAGGTTCATATGAACGGATTTAGTTTTACTAAGTGGAAATAAATTTAGAAACATTATTTAGTATAATTTGGTAATTTTCGCAAAGTAAAGAGATACCATTCCTCTTATTCATACTATTTCTATCTAAGATAATGAAGCAAGATTGTGCAAATCGTCTCTAAATTACCAACTTATTATACTCATACGATGTCTTAATTCTAAAGCGATTTGCGGAAATAGTAGCTACAATACGCAACCAACAATATGCAAAATATAAATTTTATAAGTAACTAGCAAACCCGACGAACTCCGTTTCGCCACCAGAGTTTCGTGAGAAAGATGAAGAAATTTTTTGTTTGTTTTATATTTGAAAAGGAAAAATTTGATTTTTTTATACAACAGTAATGAGTTTATTTCGATTACAAAAATGAAGTGTTTTTTAGTTGAACTTCTCTAAGTAAATGAAAGTGAATCCGCAAATTATCCGTTTCATTGAAGTGCTCTCTGGTAAACCACATTTTTTGTTTTTTGGTCTGATGTTACCACAAACAAAGCGGATGGTTTTCCAACTCGTGAACAGGCAACGTATAAGTGCCCATGTGAAAAACAATGATTTTCTAAATAATATATTTGAAATTTATCCCGCAAACACTAAGCAAATGGCCTTGAGACTTGTAATTGCGAACGCAAGGCGAACTGCAAATTGCAATCGTTTGATGTCAAACGGAAGACCAGTCGGAATCATTGGTATGTCACCAAATCGCCAGCAATTTTTGATTGAATGGTGAAATTCAGTGCGTGTACATCATTATTCTTTGCGGCAAGAACTGCTCGTTGACTTAACCAAGCATAAATCTGATAATTCTCACTAATGTCATTTCTCGAGTTTTTAATTACGGTGCGTGAAGTTCCAGCAGCTTGCATTAAGGCACGATGCCATGCACCACTAATTTTCTTAGCTATAAACCTTGCGGAGCCCGAGACCTTTCCAAAGAATGCAAAATTGTCGACATCGACATAGAAGATTACAGTAAAAGGAAGTTTAAAACAGGAATAATCTGTTATATCGACCGCGCGCGTTTGTAATAGATATACAAGTATTTCAGGTCTTTTCAGATAAGATCTTTGCCTATCGATATGTCCTTTATCAGGCTTTCATGTTTTAAATTTGATTAGTGTTTTTTAAAAAATGTAATTTTTAACACCTTCTTTTTCAGGTTCAAGACCAGTGACGGTCAGTCCCGCAAAGAAGAGGGAGCATTTGTTAGACCCGATCAAATTCTGACTGTTAAGGGCTCCTACAGTTATACCGACACAAATGGCAAACTCGTCGAGGTCTCGTATAAAGCTGACGATAAGGGGTTTTTGATAGTCCCCGAGAGCGACATGACAGTGTCGCAGAGATTACCGCCTGGCGTCATCGAGTCTCTGTTGGGATAATGCAGTTTGGAGATTAGAGAAGCCGCGGAGGGTCAGATGACATTAGGAAAGGGCGACGGTTAAACAAAGGGACAAAAGGGTAAAATAAGAAAAATATAAGAAATTCAGTAACAGTTTAAAACAAAATATATAAAACATTTAAAAAAGAGACTAGGAATATTAGTAACTTTTTTGCAAGAAAATAGTAATAATTTTATCATATTATTGAATTGTTAAAATTAGTTAAAAATTATATAAATTACAATCCGATTGATATTTTTCATATTATAATAAAAATATTGTATATAATTAAATTTTAATATAAATTTCGATAAAACTTTTTAAGTGTTATTCATCATTTCACATGCTATTAAGTAGTATAAATAATAAAGCCTGCGTAATTTGCTTTTCAACTAATTTCAATCAATTCTTGATCAGCCATAATTTTATTAATTTATCAGTTAACTGGGAGAAAAGTAAATTAAATAGCAATTTGAACATAAAATCATATCATACAAAAAGAGGTAAACTGCACAACCAACCGTTCACATCTAAGGAACGGTTGTGACAGCGATTGAGGTCAGTAATGACAGGAATAAAAATAGGTTAAAAATAACAGATGTAAACTCCAAAATGGTTTTATAACGAGTGTTATTGTCGTTATATATCCGTGACGAATGTATGGGTGAGCATTCACACACATGTATAAAGTGCGCAGAATTACCCCTCCTCTTATATGCATATGAGAGTCATGAGAGAGGAGGTGTGTGTCCGAGTGTCTGGAAGTAGTCGGCAATTAACACTCGATGCTAAGAGTTGTCTTGATTATTTTTATTTTTATTATGTCGTTCTATATTATAAAATGTTATCTCTTTTACAATTTTATTCATTTTGTAGAAATCCACTATTTTCTTAGATACATTGTTTGTTTAAATCTTATCCAGATCATGTTATTTAACAAATGTCCTGAAGATAGAACATCTCTAGTACCGAAATGTTGACAAGTAATAACTTGCAAGCAGTAACTTGCGTACAGTTTTTCAAACGATCAGAATGCTTCAATGATTGGAGCTTTTGCAGATCTTTTAATGTATTTTATTTATTTTGATTTAATATTTAATTTTTGATTTTTTTCTGTTAAACTGTTGTATTGGTTGGTTGGTGTTCACATTTTTGGTTGTTTTTATCTTCACGTGGAGTAGTTATAGTAATGGTCCGAAAATCGAAAATAAAATTTTTTGCATTTTCCACGTTTTGAACGTTTCTGAATATTTTGGCATACCTCAGAAAAAAATGATGTGTGCGTGTGTGTTTTGTGTGTCCGTACTTTTTCGTTCACGTTTTCGGGCGCACGGATCAACCGATTGGAATAGTTAAAAAAACATTCGATTCCTATTGATAGGGAGATGTGCTGTGAAATGATATAAGTAGTTGGTAGGAGGTCCAACCCTATCCTGGTGCCTTGGGTCAAGCAGTAGGAGTAAGTTTGAATCACAAAAATTTGTAAATTTGTAAAATAGACCTCTTCGGAATCGCGAGTACTTTCAGTAAGATGTTAGCTGAAAGAGATATGTTTCTTGCTTCTGATCCAATATAAAAATCCACTTGTTGAACTGTACACTTTATTTATTCTTTCTTATTACAAATTCCAACAGACATAATCTTCTCTTAAGATATTCTAAGACTACTTTAAACTCTCTCTTAAGACATCACTAGACTAGACTCTCTCTTAAGACATCACTAGACTAGACTCTCTCTTAAGACTCACTAGACTAGACTCTCTCTTAAGACTCACTAGACTGGACTCTCTCTTAAGACTCACAAAACTCGATGGACGATCACTATTCTATTTATTAGGTATAGGACGTGACATATGTGCACTTCCGCATTCGCGCTCTCGCCATGTACTTTGATTATCTATCAAAACCGCACGATTTGCATCATTTCACAATAGCTATTAGCTTTTGGCAAAGGCAAGTCCAGCCGTTGCGGAGATAAAGAGCAAAGAGTGCAGAAAATAGAAATCTAGTTTTTGAGAGAACGGAGCATCCGATTTGAATAATCTAAAACAGATTCACTTTGTAATGATTGGAAGAAGTGGTGATTAGTTTATGGCAAAGGCAGGCTCAACCATTAACAAATGGCAGTTTCTGAGAGAAATGAGAATCCGATTTGAATGAATCAAAAAAAAAAATTGAGATAAACATTTTTCATTTCAATATATTTTTTTGATTATCAAAAATTTTAATTCTGGTTAAAGTTATAAAGCTTGGAAAAATCTGGACTCCGACTTGTAAACAATTTTAGTACAACGACTAGCACTATTTTTACCAAAAAAACGCTTATCGAAGAACTATGAAATCTCGTCTATCAACTAAAATGCCTACTAGACTGTAATTTGAATTACATAGAAGAAACAAGCCAGAAATTAAATAAAGGTTTTTTACAACAACACAAAAATAATTCAAATAATCCCAGACAATTTAAAACTATGCTTGGGGACCACATTAATACTTTAAAACCCAATATAGACTTTTCGAACCTGACTGTACTACAATTTGAACAAAACTACGCAAACATAACCTGAAAGTTCAGCCAATTAAATGCGAATTTTTAAGACGCAAAATAACTTATTTGGGCCATAATCTCGGAGAAGGGTGTTACACGTGATCCTAATAAGGTACAAGTTTTTTTTTTTTTTTTTTTTTGTTACAATTTATTTTTGTTAATCAAGACTTTAATGTCTTATTTACAAAATTGATATGAGCAAAAAAAATACAAAAAAACAAAAAATGCAATACATTGAACATAAAATGAAAAAAGTTAAAATAAAAATAAAATTAAAACAGTAATACAAAAATAATAACATAAATGAACGATGACGTGATGATGTATGCCGCGTACTACGTCAGGACGCGTGCAGACATTGGGCTAGGTGTTTGGTAGATCGGAAGGCCATTTCTTGCTCAATCTTCTTATCGGTCTCTGAATCGCTTGAATTGTAGGATTTGCATGTTGAATTTGTTGTTGAAAGATGAACTTCTAATCTTGATCATTTCGTTGACTGTTGAGATTTTCAAATCCTTATGTAGGCAAAAATTCGAAATATACCAAGGCGCATTAGTAAGGATACGCAGAATTTTATTCTGGCACCTTTGAATGATGTTTATGTTAGATTTGCATGAGCAACCCCATAGTTCGATTCCATAAGTCCAAATGGGCACTATGATAGTTTTATACAAAAGTACCTTGTTATCGAGAGAGATTTCAGATTTCCTCCCAAAAAGCCAGTAAAAATCTTTTATTTTCAGTTGGATTTGTTTCTTTTTATATTCAATGTGCGTTCTCCATGTCAATTTCGAATCAATGTGCATGCCTAAATATTTAACAGAATTGCATAGTGGAATTATTGAATTGTTCATGATGATAGGTGGACTGTTGTGATGTTTTAGAGAAACAATTATGTGCTGAGATTTTTCGATATTGATTTTGATATTCCAATCTAAAAACCATTTTTCGAGACTAGATAAATAATTTTGTAACTGACAAGTTGCTGTTCTAATATCGGAATTGCATGAAATAATTGCTATGTCATCGGCGTAAGTGCATATGGTTAGAAGATCATCTGTGGGCATATCGTTTGTGAAAAGAAGATAAAGTACAGGGCTTAGCACACTGCCCTGTGGTACCCCGCATTCTATATTTCTGATGCTCGAAGTCACATCTTTAATTTTGATTCTAAATTTTCTATTAAGCAAATATGAGCTTAAGATATTGAAGTAGTTTGGAAAAGTTGTTTTGATTTTATATAGGAGTCCTGAGTGCCAAACCTTATCAAAAGCCTGACTAACATCTAAGAATACGGCTACGCTGTGTTCCTTTCTATTCATGGCTTCAAGAATACGAGACACCGTTCTGTTGCATTGTTGAATTGTAGAGTGATTTTTTCTGAAGCCAAACTGATGGTGAGGAATCCAACTATCATTCGGATGATCTTCTGACAATCTCTGCAACAAAAGTCTCTCTAAAATTTTCGATAATATCGATAAAAGACTGATAGGACGGTATGAACTAGCAGTGTGATGGTTTTTGTTTGGTTTAGCGATCATAATAATTTCTGCAGTCTTCCACGCTGTGGGCCAATAATTGTATTGAAGTATGGCGTTGAAAATATTTGTTATATATAAAATACCTTTTGTAGGCAATTCTTTTAACATCTTTGGAGTAATTTTATCCATACCCGGCGAAGATCTATTTTTTATCCTTTTTATTTCACATAAGACATCATTTGGTGAAAAATGTCCTAACGGTGTAGAATGTATGGGTTGATTTACGAAATTGTTAATTAAATTATTCTGGGAAATATTTCGAGCGCTAAAAATGCTACTTAGATGATCAGCAAATGCCTCCGCTTTTTCTTCGTTGCTTTTTGCCCAAATGAATCCGTTTTGGTTGGTTATTTTCAGAGGAGGGTTTTGTTGTAGGGGTTTACTTTTGTTTCTGATTGGTTTCCATATGGAATTATCGTATCTATTTAGCTGCAATATATACGACCTGAATGTACAATTCTTCCATTCTTTCATTTTTTTCCTCAGCGTGTTATTGAGATGATTGAGCGATGTCTTATCCGTTGGTAGATGAGAATGTTGCCAGGTACGTCTTGCTCTTCGTTTCTGTGCAATTAGCTTCTTAATCTCTTGCGGAATTATTAGATTATCATTTCTTGGAATAATGTTCGGGGTGATCTGCTTGGTTGTTTCACGTACAATCTCAGAAAAATAATCTATATTATTTTCTATATCAATAACGCTTGTAGGCCTAGACTTTGGAAATAATTTTGAATCAAGTATGGATTTGAATTGAATCCAGTTAGAAAGATTGTTGTGTAGAATATGATTGTTGATAACTGGAGTAGGAAATGTGCTAAACGTCACAAGTATTGGAGAATGATCTGAAGAGAGATCGTAACTAGATTCAACATTGAGATTTGAAAGATCAATACCTTTCACAATAAAAAAATC